GAGGGGTACCGCATCTTCACATGATTCATATTCTCTAATTATTGAATCGAAGCGTTCACAAAAATCACTTACTTTTTCGTCTTTTCTCATTTTAATTTGATAGAGTTTAGCTCGTACCGATGCATGAGTAACGTTTACTTCACTCTTTTTATATCCTCTCAATTTCTTTAAAATTTCTTTCGGATCTTTTTCATGTAGAATCCTTTTATGATAGTTTTCATCTAAATGATTGATTATTATATCTCTAACAAGACTTTTTCTCTTAGCAACTTTTAGTTCGGAGAGATTTTCTGGACTTTCAATGTTTGAATCTATTACATCTAACAACTCGTTATTCATTAACTCAGATTTTAAATAATCCATCCAAAGATCAAAGTTGGATTTTTGCGTCAGCTTATATTCTCTTCTAATATGCAACCTTTGACTGTTCAATTCCAATTCTATAGCTCTTTTCATTGTCTCTAAACTCCTATCTTTTTCGGCTGAACAGACTGTTATTTCATTTAATTTTCTCTTTTTAGACTCTACCTCTAGTTCTTTAACCGTTTGCTTACTGTTTTCTACTGAACTTTGGGTATCTTTATTGCTTACCTCTAAACGTCTAAGTTTAACTTTTTCTTTCTCTAAGTTTAAACGGGAGACTTCCACCATATTCTCCATCATCTCGGTGGCCTTCTTCATTACTTTATCCAGCATCTGCATCGAATTGTCCATTTTCTCAACCATCTTTTCTTGTTTCTCGTAAAGTATCTTTGTCCCTATAGGTAGTACAGGACGATTTTCAGCCCATTCTCTATTCACATCTATGTTTTCTATTATCTTTGGTTTGCCGCGTTTCGGGATTGCACCCTTTGCTTCAGTCTCCTTCTTGTCTTTTGCTTCTATACGGAATTTTGAAATTACTATTTTTATTTTCTCTGAATGCATATATATATTATTCTTCTGGACTACTTTATTTTCAAAAAAAATACTCTCTTACCTCTATCTTTTCTTACTGTCTCCTCGTTTTTATCTTTTGCTTCTCTATCTATTACCGTGATAAAGCTGCTATTGCTGTCGTAGTCGACCAGCGCATCTTGGCCTTCTTCTTCTTCCATCTATATCGGGATTTAAATATCAACTGAACATTAGCATTCCTCTTTTGACAAGATAAACCAACATTCGTATTGACAAATAATAATTTACAATTTCTATCACTAGATCTCTTTCAGCGATAAAAATTTAATGCTTATGAGGCTATATAGAACGCACTGCAATTCACAATAACCCCAAAGCGAGAAAACCACGCGCCTCTGCAGGGCTATCCGCACGCGCACACCACTGTCCGTTGCGATCCCCAGCACTGCTGAAAAGATCTATGGGAGCTCGGGTTGATCACGCACACGCACGGGGCCCATACAAATTTACGCGGCTTCCCTAAACAGTAATCAAGCTACACCGCACAGCAAGTCATGCTCAATTACCGACCCGATACATATCGATTTCAAAAAAAAAATAAACTCATATAGAGTCATATAGAGTTTTTATACATACGCATACATTTACATGTATCGCAATCTAGCCATCTAGCATACGCATACATTTACATGTATCGTAATCTAGCCATCTAGCATCGATGCCATGTTGTTAGTCGAAATCGATTATGTGTTTGTGCGCGCCCAGCAACAAGTTCTGCGCGCCAAAAACAATGACTCTCGCCGTCTACGATCGGACTTCCGCGCGCCAAAAATTCCGCGCGCCAAAAGAAATGACTCTCGCCGTTCACGATCGGACTTGCACGCGCACGTCGCCGACTTGCTACCAAGCGGCATTTTTCTATCTCTTTTTCCTTCATTATTCTCTACTTCTTTATTACACTTTACACATCTATTCTCTAATTCTCTTATTACCATTATTACCTCTATTTCTATTTCTCGAGAAAAATGGCAAAAACATCTACCTCCTTGTAACAGTATTTATCGAACGAACATTCTTATTAACTGAGAATTCTCTCGTTTTGCTCGTCAGCAACGAGGAATATTGTTTACTCACCCTCTAATCTTCTAAATGCTTCTATCTCTTTCTATGCCCTTCGCCGGCGTCTCACACACTTCGTATATACACTTTCGTGCTATGTTCCTCACGCAGGGGAATCGTGCCCTGGGCCCATAACCTATTGGAAATATAATCAGGGACGACTTGAAATGTGGTGAGATGAGCA